CTGTGTATTCGCCGGTAGAAAAAGATATTTACAGATTGTGATAGCGTTGAAAACAAAAAATGCAATATTGATCAAATGTCATAAAACATTATCGAATTAACAAAGGTGCTAGATTATAACCAAAATGTGAAGAATTAACACGACTACTGCAAATGCTACGCCAAAATAGCCAAAAAGAAAATAATTGATTTTGCTCCCTGGTTTTCTGAATGAGCCACATTAATTTATTGAGAATTTTTCTCAAGCGTTTCTTTTGTTGGGTTTTTCCAGGGAATTTGACTGATCAGAACCATGGAAACTGGATTATATTATATTCCCAGTTCTCTTTCCAAATAAATTATAGCGTCAGAACAAAATTCACAACGATGACATTTTATCTAACAAGATAATGAATGAAATGTATAGGCACAATATTTAGTGATATTTTTCCTGCTTTCCGGCCTAAACCACTGTGTCCATCTAGAGGAAAAACCACATGGATTAGTAATTTTTCATTTATTCATGTAATTAATAAATCTTTAAAATAACAGCAGTTATATTATCCCAGAGTAAATAAATCTGTTTTAACAATTAACATCAGAATTGTCAGATAAATATTGTCACATATCGTAAATGTTCTGCTATTTGTCTGTTGGAAAAGTTTGAAATTTTCTACCATAACTGTGAACATACATTAATTCGTTCTAGATTAGTTAGAATCATTATTGAGGCATAAGGTTATAGTGTGTGATTCTTTTTTTTTCTGCAAATAATTAATAATGGAGAGTCTTACCGAAATCCATAGACAACACGGCCACCAGGAGATAAATAATAAGTCCAGCGGCCATGGCAGCTCGAAGGGTGAAAACAAGACAAAGACAGTTCTAGCTGAAGGGATTTATAATACCCTCCTACTATTATTCCAAGTGAAGTGTTAGGTTTATGGAAACCAACCTGTTGAAAAACCAGTTTAAATTGATATGTTTTATAAGTGGTTAATTCCCCTGTATGTTTGGCGAAGGTAGGAAGATTAGCATGTCCCGTAAACCATGTCTGCCAAGTGAGAATTATCCACTGGAAACTCAGTGCAGGGAAAGCATGTGGTTGGATAATGTCCATCAATTATCCTGGAATTCAAGGACATACAGAAATCCTAAAGACATTCTAAGCACCATAACAACTAGAGCTCATTGTGTCTTGCTGCCCTCACACATTAAGTAGTCAAACTGTTTGCAAATGGTTTAACTACTTACCTTGGATCCCATTTATGAAATACTGCTAATTTCATGGCCAATAGCACACAAGGACAGAAGGTGCCTGTAGCAAGTGTGTTAAAAGATGATAAGCTTAGAGTCATGTCTACAAATGCTCGCAATTTAGGGAATAAGATCCATGAACTTGTGACAATAATGGCAAATGATAATGTAGATTTAGTCGCTGTTACTGAGACATGGTATAATGAGAAAAATTACCTTTGATATAGCAGTAATACCAGGGTACTCTTTATATAGAAAAGATAGTGAAGACAAGAAAGAGGGAGGGGTGGTCCTGTATGTGAAGGATAGCATAAAATCTAGCCTAATAAAAGTTAGTGAGGCGAACATAGAGTCCATTTGGGTTATGTTAGAATTTGGTAATCACACAGTAACTCGTGTAGGTGTGAGTTATAAGCCCCCAGACAAATAGAAGAGTTAGATAATCTACTAGTTGAGGAAATAGCTAAAATGACAATGAAGGGGGAAATTATCATCATGGGTGACTTTAATCTTCCTGATGTGAATTGGAAAACCAAAATAGCAGCTTGTGCCAGGAGCACACATATTCTAACCTCCCTACTGGGATTGTCTCTAAAACAAGTCATTGAGGAGCCAACTCATAAAGAGGCCATACTAGATTTAGTGTTAACAAATGGAGATTTGGTATCAGATATTACTGTAGGTGAAAGTTTAGGATCCAATGATCATCAGTCAGTGTGGTTAAATATAAGAACAGTGACTGAGTCCCACCACACAAAAACAAAAGGTTTAGACTTAAGAAAAAAAGAATTTTTTTAAAATTAGAATATGTGTAAAGGAGTCGTTATCAGACTGGAGCAATTTAAATGGAGTCCAAGAGACATTGGATTGTTTAAAGAAACAACTGTGGTACTCTGCAGATGTGGCCAAAATAATAAAAAACTAAAAGTTAGCATTTAGTAATTATAAAAAAAAACCCAGAGTGAGGAAGACAGAATGATCTATAAGATTAGGCAGAAAGAGGCTAAGCAAGTTATAAGAGCTTCCAAATCACACACAGAAGAGAAAATAGCACAGTCAGTAAAAAAAAGGGTACAAAACATTTTTTAGATACATAAATGAGAAAAGAAAAGTAAAACAAGGATTAGTTAGATTAAAAACAAAAGAAGGAAGGTATGAAGAAGAGGATAAAGGTCTAGCTGACTGCCTCAATGAATATTTTTGTTCAGTATTTACAGATGAAAGTGAAGGAAATGGGCCTTAGTTAGGAAAAAGGACAAATTAGTCATTTGTTACATGTGAGTTTACAGATGAAGAGGTTCTATTTCAACTGTCAAAAATAAAGACAAATTAGTCAATGGGACCTGATGGAATACACCCAAAGTTATTAAAATAGCTTAGTGGTGTACTAGCAAAACCATTAACAGATTTATTTAACCAATCATTGTTAACAGGAGTAGTCCCAGAAGATTGGAAGTTAACGAATGTTGTGCCCATTCAAAAGAAAGGTAGTAGTGAGGAGTCGGGCAACTATAGGCCAGTTAGCTTTGCTTCAGTAGTGGGGAAAGTAATGGAAACCATGTTAAAGGATCGGATTGTTGAACATCTAAAAACACATGGATTTCAAGATCAGAGACAACATGGGTTTACTTCAGGGTGATCATGCCAAACTAATCTTATTGATTTTTTTGATTGGGTAACTAAAATAATAGACATTGCTTACCTAGATTTCAGTAAGGCTTTTGACACGGTTGCACATAGAAGGCTTATCAATAAACTGCAATTTTTAAGTTTTGATTCCAATATTGTTGAATGGGTAAGGCAGTGGCCTGAGTGACAGGCAACAGACGGTTGTAATCAATATATAGAGTATATTCTAAGCATGGACTTGTCACCACAGGGGTACCTCAGGGATCTGTACTTAAATACATTGTAATTAACATGTTCATTGATTATTTTTTTGCGTAGTTTTACCAAGGAAAATGTATTGAACGCAAACGTTAATAATGAATCAACAGAGACAGAATGAAGCATGTCAGGTGAAGTCCCCAAGTTGGGGGCCATGGGAAGGTCACTATACTTTTGATTGTTATTTTAATTCACCTTACAAAGAGAAAAAAAAATATTAATTTGTTAAAAAAAAAACTTTTAGAAAGATGAAGGAAAAACAGGACTTGGATATAATTCTCATTTTTGAGGAATAGGAAGAGGTGATGGGTAATATGTCTCATATAGAACACTGTAACAACGTCTATGAAACAATTAATGATAATATTTAGATTATATTTTACACCAGATTGAGATATATATATATATATATACACACACACAGTCACAGGCAGACAGTTACACACACACACACACACACACACAGTCACAGGCAGACAGTTACACACACACACACTTCCTAGAACACCTAAAACCTGCTGGAAACAATGATGTTAAAAGGGAAAGCATGTCCATGTTCTCTGGCAGTGACTAGCAATGTATTCCAGTACATTCAGTAATTTTGACCAGATACAAAATAAAGATTTATTAAATATTACCCGTAGCTTATAGTGAGTGTGAAAGTTACATTGATAAATTAGAAACATAGAAACATAGAATGTGACGGCAGATAAGAACCATTCGGCCCGTCTAGTCTGCCCAATTTTCTAAATACTTTCATTAGTCCCTGGCCTTATCTTATAGTTAGGATAGCCTTATGCCTATCCCATGCATGCTTAAACTCCTTTACTGCGTTAACCTCTACCACTTCAGCTGGGAGGCTATTCCATGCATCCACTACCCTCTCAGTAAAGTAATACTTCCTGATATTATTTTTAAACCTTTGTCCCTCTAATTTAAGACTATGTCCTCTTTTTGTGGTAGTTTTTCTTTTTTTAAATATAGTCTCCTCCTTTACTGTGTTGATTCCCTTTATATATTTAAATGTATCTATCATATCCCCCCTGTCTCGTCTTTCCTCCAAGTTATACATGTTAAGTTCTTTTAACCTTTCCTAGTAAGTTTTATCCTGCAATCCAGGAACCAGTTAAGTAGCCTGCGGAAGCAGCTAACGAACACTCCAATTAGCCAAACAGCCGAACAATAAAAACCATACGAATAAATGCCCCCCAAATACAAGACAAGCCTCCGTATTGAGGGTCAAGCAGTGATCTGGTTTAATGGGGCTACCCGCCCGGTATTTATGCAGGTCTTCCACCAGGTGGACACTCCCCTAGGGGACCTGGTGGAAAACTGTGACAAAACGATACAGTAGCCAATCACAAGAGTACAGGTATAAACACTCCCACTTAAGTTGTACAGAACCCACAGAGTGAGGGAGGTGGTGACTGTCACTAGTCACCCCCCACTGTCACTAGTCAACCCCCTCACTGTCACTAGTCACCCCCTCCCTCCCCACTGTCACTAGTCACCCCCTCCCCCCCACTGACTAGTGACAGAGTGAGGGAGGGGGGTGACTAGTGACAGAGTGAGGGGATGACTAGTGACAGAGGGATGGGGTGACTATTGACAGTCACCACCTCCCTCACTCTGTCACTAGTCACTATCTCCCTCATTCTGTCACTAGTCACACCCTCCCTCACTAGTCACCCACCCGTCACTAGTCACCCCTCCCTCACTCTGTCACTAGTCACCCATTCCCTCCCTCACTCTGTCACTAGTCACACCCTCCCTCACTCTGTCACTAGAGTGAGGGAATGACTGGTGACAGAGTGAGAGAAGGGGTGACTAGTGGCAGAGTGAGGGAAGGAAGGGGTGACTGGTGACAGAGTGAGTTAGGAGGATGACTAGTGACAGAGTGAGTTAGGGGGTGACTAGTGACAGAGGAGGGGGTGACTAGTGACAGAAGGAGGGAGGGAGTAGTGACCGAGGGAGGGAGTAGTGACAGAGGGAGGTGGTAACTAGTGACAGAGTGAGGGAGGTGGTGACTAGTGACAGTCACCACCTCCCTCACTCTGTCACTAGTCACCCCTTCCTTCCCTCACTCTGCCACTAGTCACCCCTTCCCTCACTCTGTCACTAGTCACCCCCTCACTCTAGTGACAGAGTGAGGGAAGGGGTGACTAGTGACAGAGTGAGGTAGGGAAGTGGTGACTAGTGACAGAGTGAGGAAGGGGGTGACTAGTGACAGAGGGAGGGGTGACTAGGGACAGAGTGAGGGAGGTGGTGACTAGTGACAGTCACCACCTCCCTCACTGTCACTAGTCACCCCCTCCCTCACTCTGTCACCAGTCATCCCCTCACTTTGTCACTAGTCACCCCTTCCTTCCCTCACTCTGCCAGTAGTCACCCCTTCCTTCACTCACTCTGCCACTAGTCACCCCCTCTAGTGACAGAGGCAGGGTATGACTAGTGACAGAGAGAGGGAAGGGGTGACTAGTGACAGAGTGAGGGAGGTGGTGATTAGTGACAGAAGGAGGGATGGGGTGACTAGTGACAGTCACCACCTCCCTCACTCTGTCACTGTGTCACCCCCTCCCTCACTCTGTCACCTGTCACCCCCTCACTCTGTCACTAGTCACCCCCTCACTCTAGTGACAGAGTGAGGGAGGGTGTTACTAGTGACACAGAGAGGGAGGGGGTGACTAGTGACAGTGAGGAAGGGGGTGACTAGTGACAGAGGGAGGAGTGACTAGGGACAACGTGAGGGAGGTGGTGACTAGTGACAGTCACCACCTCCCTCACTCTGTCACCAGTCATCCCCTCACTCTGCCACTAGTCACCCTTTCCCTCACTCTGTCACCTGTCACCCCTTCACTCTAGTGACAGAGTGAGGGACGGTGTGACTAGTGACAGAGAGAGGGAGGGGGTGACTAGTGACAGAGAGAGAGGGGGGTGACAAGTGACAGAGTGAGGGAGGTTGTGATTAGTGACAGAGGGAGGGATGAGGTGACTAGTGACAGTCACCACCTCCTTCACTCTGTCACTAGTCACCCCCTGCCTCACTCTGTCACTAGTCACCCACTCCCTCTCTCACTCTGTCACTAGTCATCCCCTTCCTTACTGTCACTAGTCCCACCCTCCCTTACTCTGTCACTAGAGTGAGGGGGTGACTAGTGACAGAGTGAGGGGGTGACTAGTGACAGAGTGAGGGCGTGACAGGTGACAGAGGGAGGGGATGACTGGTGACCGAGTGAGGGAGGGGGTGACTAGTGACAGAGTAAGGGATGGAGGGGGTGACTAGTGACAGAAGGGGGGGGTAGTGACAGAGTGAGGGAGGTGGTGACTAGTGACATAGTGAGGGAGGTGGTGACTAGTGACAGTCACCACCTCCCTCACTCTGTCACTAGTCACCCCTTCCTTCCCTCACTCTGCCACTAGTCACCCCCTCACTCTAGTGACAGAGTGACAGAGTGACAGAGTGAGGGAGGTTGTGACTAGTGAAAGAGAGAGGGAGGGGGTGACTAGTGACCGAGGGAGGGGGTGACTAGTGACAGAGTGAGGGAGGTGGTGATTAGTGACAGAGGGAGGGATGGGGTGACTAGTGACAGTCACCACCTCCTTCACTCTGTCAATAGTCACCCTCTCCCTCACTCTGTCACTGTGTCACCCCGTTCCTCACTCTGTCACTAGTCACCCACTCCCTCCCTCACAATGTCACTAGTCACCCCCTCACTCTGTCACCAGTCACCCCTTCCTTCCTTCACAGTGACAGAGTTAGGGAGGGAGTGACTAGTGACAGAGAGAGGGATGGGGTGACTAGTGACAGAGAGAGGGATGGGGTGACTAGTGACAGAGAGAGGAAGGGGGTGACTAGGGACAGAGGGGGTGATTAGTGACTGAGTGAGTGAGGGGGGACTAGTGACAGAGTGAGGGAGCGGGTGACACAGTGACAGAGTTAGGGAGGGAGTGACTAGTGACAGAGAGAGGGATGGGGTGACTAGTTACAGTCACCCCTTCCCTCACTCTGTCACTAGTTACTCCCTCCCTCTGTCACTAGTTACTCCCTCCCTCTGTCACTAGTCACTCCCTCCCTCTGTCACCAGTCATCCCCTCACTCTGTCACCAGTCATCCCCTCACTCTGTCACTAGTCACCTCTTCCCTCCCTCACTTTGCCACTAGTCATCTCTTCCCTCCCTCCCCCACTCTGTCACTAGTCACCCATTCCCTCACTCTGTCACTAGTCACCCACTCCCTCACTCTGTTACCAGTCACCCCCACTCACTGTGTCTCCCCCTCACTCTGCCACCACTCAACCCCTCCCTCCCTCACTTTGCCACCAGGTACCCCCTCACTCTGCCACCTGTCACAACCTCCCACACTCTTCCACCTGTCACCTTCTCCCTCACACACTCTGTCACCTGTCACATATGCATTCACACAGACACTATATACAAAAAAGCACATTTAGTCATCCAGACATGCACAAGTGCATTCACACAGACTCAAATACAAACATGCATTGATACACAGGTCTTCACAATATACACATCCAAAGGAATGCCGTATTATGAGTTATATTTAACATTTATTTAATGCACGTATATTTGGCCTTCAAAGGGCCTGGGATCTAATTTTGCCCGGGGGCCCCAAAGGTTCTCAGTCCGCCCCTGCTTCAATACCCTCATAACCACACTCTCCCGCGAACCCAAACGAGTTTTTCACACTAGTGACAACTGTCACTAGTATAATACTCTTCTTCACCCTATTGTTCCTCCTCCACCTACTAACTTGACCACCTCAGACTTTGCAACTCACTTCACTGACAAGATCTCTACAATCAGTGCGATCTCTCATCTTTCTTCTTCCCCTTAAAATACTTCCCCTAACCTCACTCCCTCTGCTGTTCTATGTTCATTCACATCCGTTACAGCGGAAGAGGTTTCTGCTCTGCTCCAGTCCTCCCGCCCCACCACCTGCTCCCTAGATCCAATTCCCTCGCATCTCATCCGTACTCTGTCTTCTTCTCTTTCTCTACCTCTCACTAAAATTCTCAATCTCTCTCTCTCCTCTGGCATATTTCCATCGCCCTTCAAACATGCAACTATAACCCCAATTCTAAAGAAGACCAGCCTTGACCCTAACTCCCCGTCCAATTACCGTCCTATCTTCCCTTTTGTGTCCGAGATACTTGAAAGAGTTGTGTATGCGAGACTGACAGACTTCCTCGAGTCCAACTCTCTGCTAGACACGCTTCAGTCTGTATTCCGCATTCGTCACTCTGTTGAAACAGCTGTGACCAAAGTATCCAATGATCTACTCGTTGCAAAATTTTGTGGTCACTACTCTGATTCTCCTTGACCTTTCTGCGGCTTTTGACACTGTTGATCATCAACAGCTTCTTCTCATCCTCCGAAATATCGGTCTACAAGATATTACCTTCTCCTGGTGCTCCTCCTACCTCTCCCAGAACTCTTTCAGTGTTTCTTTCTATGGCTCTGCTTCTTCTCCCCAACTACTCTCTGTTGGTGTCCCCCAAGGTTCAGTCCTTGGTCCCCTACTGTTCTCTATCTATACTGCCTCCCTTGGTAAACTCATTAGCTCATTTGGCTTCCAATATCATTTCTATGCGGATGACACGCAAATCTATCTGTCCTCTCCTGATCTCTCCCCGTCTCTCTTGACTAGTGTCTCTGACTGCCTCTCTGCTATTTCTAACTAGATGGCTGCCCACTTCCTTAAACTCATCTTGACCAAAACTGAAATTCTGGTCTTTCTTCCCTCAAGTGCTACTCCTGTGTCTGTCTCCCTCCAAGTCAACAGTGCTACCTTCAGCTCCACCACGCAGGCTCGCTGACTAGGTGTTCTCTTTGACTCTGACCTCTCCTTCACAGCTCATGTTCAGTCTATCACTCAAAAACATTGTGCGCATCCGACACTACTTAACGCCAGATGCGACTAAGGTGCTGGTCCATTACACTGTCGTTTCTCGCCTTGACGATTGTAATCCACTTCTCAGTGCTCTTACGTGCTCCCAACTTGTGATGTTACAGTCCATAATGAATGCGGCGGCAAGGCTCATCTTCCTGTCCACCCGCAGCTCCCACTCCTCACCTTTCTGTCAGTCCCTACATTGGCTTCCTGTAAGATATAGAGTTCAATTTAAAATTCTGGTTCTTGCTTTCAAATCTCTACATAATGCTGCTCCCACCTATCTATCCTCCCTAATACACAAGTATGTCATGTCTAGGCCCTTACGTTCTGCTGAAGACTTAGTCTATCTTCTGTCCGTACTCCCACCTCTGATGCTCGCCTTCAAGACTTCTCGAGGGCTGCACTGTTCCTGTGCAACTCACTTCCCTCCTCCATTAGATGCTCACCCAGTCTCCACTCCTTCAAAAAATCATTAAAAACCCACTTCTTCATAAAAGTGTATCAATTAACCTGTTAATAGCTCCCAACTGATTCCTCTCTTGCAACTGTCACTAGTATAATACTGTCCTTACCTTTTGTGTCACTATACCCCACTCCCTCTAGCAAGTAAGTTCATTGAGCAGGGCCCTCAGCCCCTCTGTTCCTGTGTGTCCAACTTGTCTGGTTGCAACTACATGTTTGTTCGTCCACCCACTGTAAAGCGCTGCGGAATTTGTTGGCGCTATATAAATAATAACATAATAATAATATTCTTCTGCCTAGAATTAATGCCTTTTTTTGTGCATGACAATACCTTACTGGCCTTAGCCACTGCTGGTTGACATTGCACATTGTTGCCTAGTTTGTTATAACAATTCCCAAATACTTCTTGTGTTTTGTTATCCCTAATTTACTACCAAATAGGGTGTAAGTTGCTTGTTCATTCTTTACTCCCGAAGTGCATAACTTTGCATTAAATGTCATCTGCCATTTGAGTGCCCAATCCCCCAGTGTATCTAAATCCCTCTGCAGCAAAGTAATATCTTGTTCACATTTTATTACTTTACAGAGTTTTGTGTTATCTGCAAACACTGAAACATGACTTTCAATGCTTTTTTCAAGATCATTTATAAACATGTTAAATAGAAGGGTTCCCAGAACAGACCCCTGAGGGACACCACTTACCACCTCTGTCCAGCTTTAAAATTTACCATTAATGACATAGAGAATAACAATCTACAGATTCGTACGGAACAAGAAAGTTGTGCTGTTTTAAAAAAAAAAAAATTTTTTAAATGTATTTATGTATATTAGATGATAATAGAATAATTTTTTGATCTAGGTATATAGGGTACTTACCTCCAGCAAAATGTGTTTCCTGTATCAGACTGATTATGCTCCCATCTTTTTGGCCTTCTCGAAAAGGTAATCTACATTGATATTGGATGCCCTGTAATGTCACCTTGCTCCTGTTTCATCATCGCAAGGATTTTATACAAAGAACCTGATCTTATATTGTTCACATTACGTGTTGGATTCTTGAAGGATATCACAGCAAACCATATTAACAAACTATAAATTGAAAATCAACAAAATGATCCCATGTACTTAACTTGTATTTCAAGCAGATAATCTTACAAAGAGTTCCAAAATGTTCCAAAACAACTTTATCTCATTTTTTAAAATCATATTAAATAACACGAACAGGGAGTGTATCCAGGTCTTGTTTTTGCAGAATTTTCCATCTATCACCTTTCTTTAATTTACACCATTAAATAAAACATTGACAGGCTACTCACTAAAGTCTGAATGGCCCCAAACGAAATGGCGCTCAACCAACAAAATTAAGACATTGTTGATGGAATTCATCAATGTCCAGATTTTGCAATTCGGGTCCCGATTGGGCCTGAATTTGGTCTGGATTCTATTCATACCAAAATAAAATTAATTGCTATAATGTAAATGAAGGAAAGGTGCCTCAGTTAGGAAAAAGGACAAATGAGTCATTTGTTACATGTGAGCTTACAGAGGAAGAGGTTCTATTTCAACTGTCAAAAGTAAAGACAAATAAGTCAATAGGACCTGGTGGAATACACCCAAAGTTATTAAAAGAGCATAGTGGTGTACTAGCAAAACCATTAACAGATTTATTTAACCAATCATTGTTAACAGGAGTAGTCCCAGAAGATTGGAAGTTAGCGAATGTTGTGCCCATTCACAAGAAAGGTAGTAGGGAGGAATCGGGCAACTATAGGCCAGTAAGCCTTACTTCAGTAGTAGGGATGGTAATGGAAACCATGTTAAAGGATCGGATTGTTGAACATCTAAAAACACATGGATTTCAAGATAAGAGACAGCATGGGTTTACTTCAGGGAGATCATGCCAAACTAATCTTATTGATTTTTTTAATTGGGTAACTAAAATAATAGATCAGGGTGGTGGAGTAGACATTGCTTACCTAGATTTCAGTAAGGCTGCTGATACTGTTGCACATAGAAGGATTATCAATAAATTGCCATTTTTAAGTTTGGATTCCAATATTTTTGAATGGGTTAGGCAGTGACTGAATGACAGGCAACAGAGGGTTGTAGTCAATGGAGTATATTCAATGCAAGGTCTAGTTACCAGTGGGGTATCTCAGGGATCTGTACTTGGACCCATTCTCTTTAATATTTTTTATTAGTGATATTGCAGAAGATCTTGATGGTAAGGTATGTCTTTTTGCTGATAATACTAACATTTTCAACAGGGTTGATGTTCCAGGAGGGATAAGCCAAATGGCAAATGATTTAGGTAAACTAGAAAAATGGTGAGAGTTGTGGCAACTGACATTTAATGTG